AACCGGATTGGACCTTAATCTAGAATGGTTCCGAACCAAGAGAAAGTGGTCCAAAACTAAACTGGTTTATGGCAAGAACAATTTAAGAGGGACTTGCCAAACTAAAATTAAGTATTATCATCACCAAACAAGTTAAAAATTACAAATCAAGAAAATGTTCATACCAAGAGAGTCTCCGACTCTAAAGTCTCTTCCACGAGCCCAAGCTGCATAATCAAAATTGAACTTCCACCCAAAAGCATCACCAACAAAATGATGTATAGGGTGTCGACCAACTGGTGGTTTTGGTGGCATATATGGTTTAGGCTTGACATAGATGAACAATTTTTGGCCCATCATGCAATGTTTTCCATAGGCTTTGCCACAAATGTACCACTTTCTTCCCGGAGTTGTGAGGGTTATAACGTCGTAGCCGGTGTCCATGGCTCCATTGAGTTGTGGAACTTTGCATTTCTCGAAGTCATAGCCATCTACTTTATAGACGTTGTGATACCCCTTTGGATACTTGAAAACTACAACATGAAAATTTAATTGTGAGATTAGTATTATATGAAGATGCCTGATGTAACTGCCTATTGCTCTTGTTCTTCTTCGTTTTTTTAGTCACATATTATACACGGTGTTATTTTTCTGCTAGTTTTTAAATTTCTATATAAATATCATGAAGTTGCAGTTCTTGAAATATCTAATTAAAAACCAACTGAAAAAGTACACTTACTCGGAGGTTGTATGTGTTAATAAGGTAGTTACACATCCATACTGTAGGGGTGATAAATTGCAAAAAAAAATAAATTAAAAAAAACCATATTTATGGTCTTGTGTAGAACTCATTACCGCTCAACTTGTTTCCTAGCACTTATCAGCCTACAACTTTTTTTTGGGTGGGGTAGGGTGGGGGGATTTCTATCTATGTCATATCCTCCTCAACAATGCCAAACTCTAGAAATGATAACTGCTAATAAACTAAGTTAATTATAAGGAAAAATTTTACTAGATATATGATAACATAATCATATGACCATTTGTGAAAGTTGTAGGGTTTGATGAAAATATATGTACCGAGTTTGTCTCCGACATAAAAGTGACGACCCTTAGCCCAAGCCGCGTAGTCGAAGTTGAGGGCCCAACCGTAGTGATCACCTACAAAATGGGTCGTCGTTGCTCGAGCCAAAGATGGAAGAGTAACAAAGGCCAAAACAATGGCGGAAATGAATTGAACAAGAGCCATAGATTAATGTTGCCCCCCTCTCCTTTTAGTTATTAATTAGCTAGCTATATTATTGTAGAAGAATATTGAGTGCATGTTTCATATAGTCGGAGTCTGCATTTATAGGCTTATTATCCTTATGAGCAATGCCACTAAGAATTAATGTTGGCCGGCGATATGCCATAAAAAAATAATAACAACAAAATTCTCCTTGCTCTTTATATTTAGGTACGCGACTAGGTCTTAAAATCACGTTTTAATGAGATATACAAATAGATGTGAACTAAAGCAATTATCTTAGTTATTAATTTAACCACGGCTATTGTCAATCTTCGAGTTGCCAAAAAGAGAGAAACAAATCACAAAATATTTGGTATGAAGACTAATTCTCTCTTCTTATCCCTTTTAACGTACGGCCTTGTCCTTTTCGTTTGTTTTGTGGCAATAGTTGGCCAGTAGGTTATATTTTCTAATAACTTAGAAACCTAGATTGGATCAAATATTTGTTGCTGTCTTTTTTTTTATCAATTTACCAATCATCAAATACTATTTGTTATTGACATCTTCATTTTGAAGAATAAGTCCTCGTATGACGCAAGTGGAATTAAAATTCCAACACTTCTTTACGGATTCGGATCCTCTCCACTACAAAAAAAATAGTGGAGGGACCACTACATAATCACAGCCATTGATTATCTAGTTGATGGTTATGATTTTTTCTTTTAGTGCAAATTAGGAATGAGTGCAATACACGGGGGTATGATAAGTGGTAGATTTAAATTGTATCATAACCGCCTACTAAATAATCAACGCTTGAGATTAAAAGTAGTGGTCTCTCCACTACTTTTTTTGTAGTGGAGAGGATCCAAATCCCTTTACATTAGAAGAGACGGCATCGTATCGACTATTATTGTGTTATAGTTAACTTTTACGTTATATGTTAGAAAAATTATAAAGGAGACATGAATTTTGAGGCGTAAAATACTTTCCTTAATGAAACATTTAAAGTTACTTCGGGTTAATACAAATTTTCTTCCCAGGATACAACAGAAAATAAAAATTCCAGCAAGCAAATCTGGAATTTTTCACTAATTCGTTGTGAAACAAGTTTGTAGTATTGCAGATGTTTTTGACAAAAAGTCTTGAAAAAAAGTGAAGTTAAAATATCTAAAATTATAAAATATTTATAGGTTTGAAAATGTGCTTCCAACAGTCATAACTTTTTAAAACACCCCTTGAAACAAACAAACATTTTTCAATAGCCACTTGTCAATTCATATTTTCAAAATTTTAAAATAACATTAAAAATAATATATTCAAAAAATATATATTACCAAACCAATTCACACAAGGTATGTTTAAAAGGTTCGTTAAATTAAACCATATTACCAAACTATCGAAGTACAAAGTGAGCTAAAAAATAATCAGTTGAGTACACTGGGGAGAACAGTGATTTGGGAAGTGGTCAGGTTTAAAAATTAATAGGGAAAAACTTTGGGTTTATATACAAAAATCCCTATGTAATTGTTCTGGATCACAGTTGCGTCTATAGTTGTTGTCTATAGTTGTTATCCCTAGTGCATACAACTCCCAAAGAATATATAAAGAGGCTAAAAGAATGTGACCTATGTTATGGTTGTTCTCGGTCACATGGAATCATTTATAGTTGTTATCTATAATATAACTCCGAAATACTTTATACGTTGGATTCAAAAAGTTATTTTTTGGGTCTAAGAGTTAGTTGGAAGTTGTGGGTTTAAAAATAAATGAGGGGTAAACTTTGGATTTAACGTAGACAATCTTTTTGGAAGTGATTGGGTTTAAAATTAAATGGAGTAAATGTTGGGTTTATGGGGAAAAATTCCTCTAAAAGTGATTTTGGAGCTAGGTAGATTTAATGAAATAAAAGTTTTGGTTTAAAGATATAAAGATCCTTTTAGGAAGTACATAAGTTAAAAACTAAAATGGGACCTTCGGGTTTATGGGAACTTGCCTATGAGAGCGGTTTTGGAAGTGAGTGGATTTGGAAATAAATAAGTGTAAAATATTGGGTTTATAGAACATTTTTGACTTAAAAATTGATGTGAACAGTGATATGAACAATGTAAGTGGATAAAAATAATTAAGTGATGTTTTTTCGGTCTAAGAGTGATTCGTGGGCTTGACCTTGTATTTCATATTACATTTTCCTAGGTCATAAATTATTTGTTATGTTTTGCCTCAGTCACTTTAAATTTTTTTTCCTATATTGAGTTATTCTTTTGCTAAATATTTATTCTCAAAGAACATAGCTAAATCCCGATACTTTAAGCATAACTTTTTAGGAGGCTGAATATCATTAAATCCTCCTTAAGTTAGGGGTTACCAGAAAATTCTATTTAACTTTAAGATTCCATTAGAAAATCCCCTAAAAGGCTAATTATTGGAAAACTATAATTTTTACATGGATAGCTAAGACTATGCTGGGGTACGTGTTTA